TAGCAGTTAATTTGACCTATAAGACCATTAGTCTATTAGGTCTGATCTCTGTCCACAGTATCAGGTCTCACAAATTCCGCTATTGCTCTCAGACCACAGCCACACCAGTCTCCTCTCAGTTTCTCCAGTATACCAAGCTCCTTCCCATTTCAGAGCTCTGGTATACACAATTTCCCATTACTTCAAGTATTCTTTTTTACTGACCTCAGTGAAAGGAAGACAAAATCTTGGGACCCCAAACTCACTGTGCCAAAGGTAAAAGCTATGCTTGGGAACTGAATCATGCAAAAACTGCCTTCCTTTTGTTTTGTTTCTAAACACATACTTTTTGTTTCTAAACATGTTTGTTTCTGAAATTCCTTTTGTTTCTAGACACTTTTACTTTACTTCACGTTTACTATACCTTATAGAAAATGCAGATCTATGCATAACTGACTTTGTCCCCACTACTTGTTTTTCAGCTGTAAAACGTGGATTGCTGAGCACTTCACAAGAATGGGACTTCTTGCTAGCTGCCTACCCTCCCCTTTTCTTTCTTTCCTCCTTCCTTTCCTGCCTGCTCTTTCTCCTTTAAATATTGAAGTCCTCAAAACGCTCTTTGGAAAAAGCACAGGCCACAGATGCTACTGTAACTTGTGTCTACTTTTCCATGGTGTGTCCTCAACCTTGGCAAAATAAACCTCTAAATCAATTGAGACATCATGTCTCAGACACTTTTTGGTTTATACCCCATCTCCCAACCTCACCTCCAGCCTCAGCTTGCCCAGGCATTCCACAGACTCAGTTCAAATGTCACTATTCAAGAAAGCTTTCCCTAACTACCTCTCTACCAGCACCACCGCCAGGATTAGGACCTCCAGTTACAAGTTCTCATAGCACTCCGTATTTCTCCTTTGGAGAACTTACAACAATTATAATTAATTTAATTAATCATAATTAAATAACCACAGTTAGTGGATAGAGTCAGTTATTTAAACTGTTTTCTTCTTCCCCAACTCCTTCATATCATACACACACACAACCCGTGAAAGTTAGATCAACAAGAACAGATATTACATCTTTCTTATTCTCCATTCTGTTCCATATACCTACCACAGCGTCTTGTAAGAGCAGTAACTCAATCATTGACAAATGAAGGACCAGATAACTGCACTGACAGAATTCAGATCACATCACATATGGATTATATCTTTTGTATGTAAATATATCCTCTATTATGTAAATATCTCATACTCCATGTTTTCAAAGTAGAAATTGATTACCACTGATATTAGATTAGAATCCCCAGTTTATATCATTCACAAAAATAAATTCCAAACCTAATCATAAAAAGGAGAAGCAAAAAGTAGTAGAAGAAAATACAGGAGAAGCCTTTATGACTTTGGTGCAGAAAAGATATTCTTAAATAAAACACCTAATTTGAAGCCACTGGAGGAAAGAGTGTAACAGATTTGAAACTTTAACACTACAAAGTTAAACAATAATCTATAACAGTAAGGAAAACATTAATATTAATATTTAAAAATATTCAATGAGATTATAGAGAAAAATATCTTGTATACAGTACGTTTTCATGAATTTAGTCAAGTTGACATATAAAATTAATATATCTCTTGCAACATATATGTAAAATGATTAGGATCTAGGATACATAGAGAACATCTAACAACCAATTTAAAAAAACAAAAAGTCCAATAGAAAAATAAAACTCATAGGAAAACTACAAATTACCAACAAATGTATGGAAGAAAGTTCAGTCTCACCATTAATGATGGAAAGGCAAAGTAAAACAATTAGATATTGTGTTTGCCCATTAAACTGTCTGAGATTTACAATTTGGCAACATGATGTAAGGGCATGGATATGGGGGGAAAAATCTCATACACTGCTGTTAAGAGTGTAAACAGGTGCGTTCATTTGGGAGGAAAACTTGACAGTATTCATTAAATGTGTACAACCTTTAACCCAGCAATACTCTTTCTCAGTATCCGTCTTTGTGCATGTATGCACAAAGAGGGTGATCATTATAGCATTGTTTGTAACCCCAACAATTATAAAAACATATGTTTTCAATAGGCAAATTGCTATTTACACTATGGAATGTTATGCAGAAAGTAGAAGGAATAAGGGAAATTTTTATTTACTGCTATCAACAGATCTCCAAGGCCCACTGCTAAGAGAAAACAAATTGAAGAATTCAACATGAACACACAGGCATACACATATGTACACAGAAAATAATACTATTTACTTTCTGTGGATACATATGTACACAGCACATGAAAATAAAGAAAAAGATCTGGAAGATAAACACATTCGGGTCATAAGAACAGCTAACTTCTGGAGAGAGAGGAGGAAGCCAGGGTTGGTAAAAATGTCATTAGTGGCCGGGCGCGATGGCTCACGCCTGTAATCCCAGCACTTTGAGAGGCTGAGGCCACCGGATCATGAGGTCAAGAGATTGAGACCATCCTAGCCAACACTGTGAAACCTGTCTCTACTAAAAATACAAAAATTAGTTGGGCTTGGTGGTGCATGCCCGTAGTCCCAGCTACTCAGGAGGCTGAGGCAGGAGAATCACTTGAACCCGGGAGGCTGAGGTTGCAGTGAGCCGAGATGGTGCCACTGCACTCCAGCCTGGCGGCAGAGCAAGACTCCATCTCAAAAAAACAAAAGTCATTAGGGTTATCCATTCACAAAATCTCTTTTCTTCGCCAAACTTGTCAGGCTTCTGAAACTCCTCCTAGGGCTATTGGTGTACTTCCTTGTAAGATCTAATGTTAGCAAAGAACTCTAAGTCCTTTAGCAGGAACTCCCCCATCCTTGATATCTGACCATCTTTAATACCTGGTCAGGGTCCTCATCCTCCACCATCCCACAGGTGGTATCTGATCACCCTGACCTGTCTTCAGCAAGAATCCCATTAGGTTGACTTAGCCAGAATCCCCCTTATGCCTGATGGTTCCCCTTAGTAATTTTCAATCTATTGGCATCCCAAACTCCAAAAAAATTTCCTTGACTATAAATTCCCACTTGCCCATTCTGTATTTAGAGTTGAGCCCAATCTCTCGTCCCTACAGCAAGACTTCATTGCAGTGGTTTACCTTTCCTGCTCCTGAATAAGGTCTCCCTTACCATGCTTTAACATGTATCACTGAATAATTTTTTAACACTGTAATGCAGCAAATGTTTAGAAGAACATGTTTATGTATTATTTATGCACTTAATACTAATATTTTTAAATATTCAATGAGATTTACAGAGAAAAACATTTGGTACCCAGTAGGCTTTCATGAAATGTATATTTCTCTTTGTATTGGGTAATTTTATGTGTCAACTTGACTAGCTAAGGGATGCCCAGATAACAGGTAAAACATTATTAGTAGGTGCGTCTGTGAGGGTGTTTCTGGCCAATATGGTGAAACCCGGTCTCCACTAAAAATACAAAAAAAAAAAAAAAATTGCCGGGCATGATGGCGCATGCCTTGTAATCCCAGCTATTAGGGAGGCTGAGGCAGGAGAACTGGGAGGCGGAGGTTGCACAAGACTGTCTAAAAAAAAGAGAGAGATTACATTTGAATCAGTAGACTAAGAAAATCACTCTCACCAATATGCGTAGGCACCATCCAATCCATTGAGGGCCCAAACAGAATAAAAAGGCAGAGGAAGAGTAAATTCACCTCTCTCTTCTTGAGCTGGGATATCATCTCCTCCTGCTTTCTGGCCTTCAGACACCAGCACCTCAATCTCTTTCCGGTTCTCAGGCCTTCAGCTTCAGACTGAATTATACCACCAGCTTCCTTGGTTCTCCAGCTTGCAGTTAGCAGATGTCGGGACCTTTCAACGACCATAATCATGTGAGCCAATTCCTTATAATAAATCTCCTTTTATATGTTTATACATACCCTGTGTGAAAGGAAAATATCTGGGCCCCCAAAATCACTAAACTAAAGAGAAAATTCAAGCCAGGAACTGCCTAGGGCAAACCTGCTTCCCCTTCTATTCAAAGTCATCCCTCTGCTCACTGAGATAAATGCCTATCTGACAGCCTCCTTTGGAAGGGCTAATCAGAAACTCAAAAGAATGCAACTATTTGTCTCCTATCTACCTATGATCTGGAAGCCCCCCTCCCCGCTTGGAGTTGTCCTGCCTTCTGGGTTCACACCTATTAGTTCTGTTTCGCTAATACACTCCCACTTCACCAAAAGTAACTAATCCTTTGGTTCAAACCCAGTAAACAGATCCCAGCAACGTGTCCCATGAAAACGAGGTGGCACATGGCACGTGGAGAGTGGTGACTTACAGGGTAAAAGGGACGAGAGCAAAGGAAAATGTCAGGTATGGGCAGAAAGGTCCCCAAAAGACAAAAACGAACAAGTGAGATCAGGGAAGACAGCCTGAAAGTAAAGAAATACGAAGCAACACTCAAAGGGAAAGAAAGAACAGTGATACCATAACTATTCTCTTTCTGAGCTTCTGATGTTCCATTCAGTTCATGGGCAATGTATCATTTAGTCCTCAGAGTAAACGGCATTATTATACCCATTTTCTATGATGCACAATAGGGTTCAAAGATGGAGTGATTCGGCCGAGGCCCTGCTGCTGATGGTGAATGCAAGAGCCAGTATTCAAACCTAACGCTGCCCTTTTCTACCATGCTGCAGCGGACAATGCAAAGAAAAAAAATATCAAGAAAAACACGTAGAGGTATCCAAATGAAAACAAACACACAAAAGATTAAAAACAGAAAAGAAAAAAGAAAACCCTTGCAGAAGGTATGCGTGTAAATGAAAGGCCCAAGATGTTAATTCATTCGCTGCAGAGTGGAGTTGGGGGCCGCGGACGGAAGCTGTGGGGTCCGAGGCTTCTTCGCACTGGGTGCTCTGGGAGCACGGAGCCGCAGCCCGCGGAGGGCGCATAGAGAGGACCAAACCTCCTACAGCCTAGAAAGGCTCCAGCGCGGCAAGAAGGCGGGGCGAGCGATCGCTTCCGGTTCCGGACGCAAAGGCCCCACGTGTTCCGACCCGCTAGGCCCCGCGCGGCTCGGATCCGGCGGCGCTATTTCGGTCGGGAGTGGGTGGGAGAGAAGCCGGGGCAGGGGAGGAGCCGCTGGAGCTGTCGGAGCCGTGAGTCCTGAGTGGGCTGGGCCGGGCCGGGCTGGACCGGGCCGGACCAGATCGGGCAGAGCCGGGCAGGGCGGGGAGGAGGGGGAGGGACCGGAGACCCCGCCCCCCAGAGCTTGGGGAAATCGCCGTGTCCTGGGGAAGGGGTGGCGGCGGTGTACTGAGGGGGCCGAGACGTTGTGGTCTCTGTGTTTCCTGGTGGCCGGAGCCAGTGTCTCCGAGGACATGGATGGCGCTCCTGGCTTCCTTTCCTTTCCAGCCACCGCCCTCTGCCCCCTCCTGGGGCCTGCAGAAATGTAGTTAGTCCGTACCTCGTACCTCCTAACGCTTCCGCGCCAACTGTCCCCCCGGAACCGAGGGAGGAGTGGTCTAGGCCCCTTTATTTTCCGCAGCCTTTTCTCACCCCTCGTCATATTGCTTAAGATCGTCTCCGCGCGCTCCTTGCCCCGGCGAGCCCCATCTCCTTACACCACTAAGCCCCTCTCAGCCCCCCGCACACACTCAGATACATTCAATCGTGATCTTATCACCTGTGATGATAGTAGTCCTTGGCGTCCATTTGGCCAGTGGCTTTTCAGCTGCCACTGTGACAGACCCTGAGCTTCCCCTCAAGCCAGTAACTGCTGTCTCCTCTTGCAACTTTCCTCTCCTCCCACTCCTAACAGCCAGTTTTGGCACCTCTTCTCAGCACCAGCGTTACTTTTAGCAGGGGTATACCTACTTCTTGAGTGTCTTGACTAAAAGTTGGTTAGTTTGTGTGCCATGGATAGGCTGCGTGCCTTCAAAAAGGTGTCAGTCTAATTTTTATTTTTCTAAACAATGAATATTCTCATCTAGGCCCTTTGATAATCCTGTCTGCCTTGGGATCTGTACTGACCTCCCCAGAGGGAGACTCTTAGACCCAGCCTTTCTTAGACAACCTTGGTCCTGGGGAGCAGTGCCACATCCCAGGCTCTCACTTAAGAGACTGGGCTTAGAACTGTTGCTTTTTCTCTATCCACGCTCTGCAGGTGACACCCAGGGCAGCTACACTCAGAAGTCACAAGGAATGCTAGTGGAGCCCCTCATCCCTCCCAGCTTCTCTTCCAAGCTGCCCGGTGGGGCTTGATCCAGGAAGCTACTTCAGAAAGGTTGTGGGATAGCCATGGGAGGTTTGTTGGTGGGAAGCGTGTGAATGCGGAGCAGTCTTGGATAACTTTTTGCTGTTACTATCTAGCATAAGAGGGTGGGCAGGGTTGGAGAGAGGACAGGAATTATTCCTCCTGGGACCAGACACCTGGGATTCATAATCTTTCACCCTTTCTCCTCCAGCTATACCCTTTTTGTACTCTGTGTATATACTATATTGCAGTAGACAATCATTCCAAGGGTACAACAAGGTTTACTACAATGTGAGGGACTCAGCCATTGCAAATTGTACAGATGAGGTAAGTTAAAGGTTTACATTTTTTTCCCCAGTAAATTTGGCACAGATTTAAAAAGTGAAACAGTTCTAGACCCCTTGCTTTTCCTGTTCTCTCACCAGCAAACCCTTTAATTTGGCCAGCAATGGCTTTCTGCATGAACGCCAGATTCACTTCATTTGCTAGGTGGTGGTTCTCAAACTTACTATAAGCACCTGAAGGGCTTGTTAAACACATATTGCTGGGACCCAGCCCTAGAGTTTCTGGTAATAGGTCTGTGCTAGGGCTTGAGAATTTGCACTTCCAACAAGGCTCAGGTACTGATGCTGCAGATCTGGGTTCTTCACTTTGAGAACAACTACCTTTTGGCCAAATGTGATACATATTGCAGTAGGTTGGGGTTCAGAATACCTTTGAGTACTTCTGTGTTAGAAACTAGTAATCCGATCTTTTGTGGATAATCACTTAGGTCTGAATATTTTGTTCGCAAAATTAAGAAAGCGTACCTAAACAAATGCTATATGCCAACTTTGAGGTGAAGTATTGATGAGTTCTTCCCCTTGATTTTCTTAATTCTCTTGATAGGGACCTCACATTTTGATCGTATATATTACATCGGGATTCTGGACTGTTGCTGTGAATTCCTAGTATTGCTAAAATCCTGCTATTTCTTAACTACCTGTTAAGTTCCTCAAGGTCGGAGCTTCTGCTTTTTTTCATCTTTCTCTGCCCAGTACCTTGAATAGTGTGGGACACATAATTGACACTCAGTAGATATTTCTGTATTGAACTCCATCCCTTATCCTCCTCCCTTCTTGATGTTTTTCTCCACTGACCTTATGCTACACAGTAAAGCAGGGCATGATTATGCCACCTGATTACCCCCAAGAGATTGGAATCAATGCTAATGCCAAATTCCTATAGCTATCCCTGTGAATGGTTTATTACCCCGGAGCCCTGACACCTGCTGATTTCTGAATTTTCAGTGCTTCTGTAATATGTACAAGTTGGGGGAGGAAAAATAGAAAGCGTAATAAAACTCAACATGCATTTATTGAACACCTTTTCTACCAAGGACTTGACAAAGTGGTAGGCGCTGGGAATATAAAAATGACTAAGGAGACCCTTGCTCTCAAAGCCAGGGCTCACAGTGGGAGACAGACATTAAGCCATGCTCACGCAAGAATGGCTTCTGAGATTCCTTCTTTGGATCATGATTTAGTCTTCAGTGGAAACCTGGTGCTCCTCAGCTTCCTCTGGTTCAACAGGCAGGGATCTCATCCCTTATCGTCTCCTCAAAGTTAAAGGAGCCTTGAGGAAAGCCAGAAGGAAGTCATCTAGACGTAGAACAGGGGATATCCACACAGGGTGTGTTAATGACAAAGCTAAAAACATAGTAAATGACTTTTGAATTTACTGCCGTTATGAATTACCTATAGCAACACCTCAGGTCAGCTCTGTTGTATATGTTATTTCCAATTAAATGGTGGTTACTCTGACTATCTGATTGGCATTGATCGTGTTCATTGTAGGAATTGCATACATCTAGTTTAACTCTGTCTGTCAAATGAGAGCACTTGCTCTCATCAGGATTGGTGTCAGGTTTGATGTCCCCTCCTTTTCCTGTTTCAGGTTAATTTGTGATGTTCTGTTTTAAACTGAGGCATATAGCGTGACCTGCTTTATTTAGGCCAGTAACTGCTTTGGGGTAGTTTTCCTGAAGGTTAAAAAGCCTGGCTTCATGATGGAGGTTAACCAACATGACCATGATGGACAGGTGTATAAATCTGACCTCCTAAAAGTCTGTATTTGAGGCTGAGTGCAGTGGCTCACACCTGTAATCCTAACACTTTGGGAGGCCAAAGCCGGCAGATCACTTGAGCCCAGGTATTTGAGACCAGCCTGGACAACATGGCAAGACCCTGTCTCTACAAAAAATTTAAAAATTAGCTGGGTGTGGCGGCATGTGCTGTAGTCCCAGATACTCAGGAGGCTGGGGTGGGAGGATGGCCTGAACCTGGGAGGCAGAGATTGCAGTGAGTTGTGATCTTGCCACTGCACTCCAGTCATAGCAACAGAAGAAAACCCTATCTCAAAACTTAAAAATCTTTATTTGGCCCCTAGCTCTCTTCAACCCTTGAATAAATCTCTCTCAGTGTCCTAGGCTGATACATTATGGCCCAGATATTCAACAGAGATAGTGTATATCCTTGTTCCTCTCAAAACTCCTCCTCATCAGCATCAAAAAGCTGGTTCAGTTTTCTACCTTTAGATAAAGAATCAAACCAAGATTCAACATGAGCTGCTGTGACTTGTCCAAAATGACACCTCTTTACAACGTAGAGCAGGGGACAGAACACAGGTCACCCTCCCCCGAAGGCAGCTATCTACTGTCTAACATTGCCTCCTAGGCCTGCCATATATAACCATCAAAAACATTTTAGTTAAGAATAAAGTGAATTGTACAATTTTTATTTTTCATTTTTGTGTTTACATTTACTCTCAATGACATATTTATTCCCACCTAATATCTTGAGGCTAACCACAAAATCTGCAGCATTTCCAGGCAGAAGATACTTGTGTCTTAGCGTCCGCTGACTTCCCTGTATCACCTACTACATACTTGACCTCTTTTTCTTTCTTCCTGTCTTCTCTTTCTCTATACCTTATTCTCTTTCTTTGGAACCTATTGTAACAAGTTTTGAGCCATTTCTCCCCTCGCTACTCAAATATCACTTTTATGAAGGGGGAAAAAAAAAACTTAGGTGGCAAAAATATATTACAAAAACAGTTTTAAACATGGTCTGAAGCATACTGGTCATGTGTTAGAAGGCCAAAAGCCAGGGAATTCACTCCCTTTCATTCATTGTGCCATCTAGGTTAAGTTTTCATAGGTCTTCTTGGTACACTGAGTTTGCCTCAGATTGTCTCCTGCCAGTTACAGGGAGTGGAGAGGGTTTTGATATATTGGTAATTAGAAGCATTGCTGATATGGTCTTTGGTGGGAGAATGTGTGTTTAAAGTTCCTTCTCATCTGTATTCCAACACTTTCATTTAATCCTACTTCATAAAGTGCCTCCAAAGCAAGGATTGTTTTTTGGTTTAGCGTGGTTTCTTTGATATAACAATAGACAGATCAAGATTTTCCTTATGCCATCTATTTTTTTGTAATTATGATGAAGTAAAGAACTGTTTACTTGTTTATCATTTAAATCTTGCCTTCTTCCCAGAAGGATTTCAAATAGCTTGAAGGAAAATGAATAAAATATATTGAGCACCTACCCTATGCCAGACTCTATGCTGAAGGATTTCTATAGGTTATTTCATTTACTCCTTAAAACAACCACATGAGATAGGTAGTATTAGTCGCATTTTTGGAGCTAAGACTGAGGCTTAGGGAAATTGTGTTACAAGGCTAATGAGCGAGGTCGGGGATTCAAACCCAGTGTTCTAAGGTCCCTAACCGTTACGTGGAAAGCTTAGATAAGCGCTTGTATATAGGACAATTAAGAATAAAAGAATATCTCCATTAGAAGGATTGTACTGGGCTAATCTTTTGTTTTAAAGAATAGCAGCAGCATTGGAAAAGAGCGGTTAACAGTTTTTATTAGTCAATGTCTATTCTAGAACACTGAGAGGAGCGGTTGACAGGCCCTGGTTAGCCCCAGCAAGTAGCCATATTAAAATTCCCACATTATAGGCCTGCATTAAGGTGTAAAATAAGAATGGGGACTGGAAGGGATATAAATATCTGCTAAATATAATAATTTCAGTTCTAATCACTGTTTTCTTCTGAAGATTATTTTCCAGTAAATAGGAAGATCACTGTCTCTCCTTTAGGTTGACAGTATATGACTACAGACTTTGTCATTTAGGGTCCAGAAAGATCACCCTAGCTGGTAGCATTTTAAGGTACAGAACTAGATACTTCATTGCCTGTGGTTTTCTGTTCTCGTAAGAGAATTGACCGTGGGTCTTCACTGCCACGTGATACCTTCAGATAAGGGGCAGAGACAGCTGGCCTGAGGAGTGTATGAAGGTCTTACCTTCATAGCTCCTCTCCAATCTTGTGCATCCTAGGAACACTCAAGACACTAGGTTGTATCTTTGCAGATATTGTTTTAGTGTCTTCTGGAACCAAGTCTCTTAATCCTGGCCTGGTTTCATATTCTCTCTATTCTTGTTATAGTTTTTATCTTACTCTGGAACTCTTCCAAGGACAGAAGTTGAAGAAAGGTATTAGAATAGCAAAGGCAACAAATTGCAAGGTATACTTGTGGCATAGCACATCCCATTAATTATAGAATAAAAGCGCAACATCTGTTTTCTGCCTCTAATATTAATACTTGACATTTGCACAACACATTTTAGTTCATGAAGCTCACATCTCAGATAATCACTGAGTTAGGAGACTGGTTATCTGCAGAGGGCTTTATCCTTTACAAGGGCTCTTGTGTATGTTACTTCACGAAACCTTCAGGGAAGCTCCAGCTTCTTGAGGATCTGGGGCTGGGATGTACATCTTTGGATACCCCAGTTTGGTGCTGTGCACAGCACTGCTGTATCTCCTTCATTTCCCATCTCTTACCCCACCAAGACTCCTTCCTTCATTCCTTCGATTGCTGATCTGTTTTCCTTCGTCTTCCTAGGCTGCCAAAGTAAATGCAAAACAAGCAACAGAAATCTCAGCTTGTGATTTCTGAAGGGGGGTTTTAAATGGCCAGTTTGGTGTGGCACTGTTATATATTCTTTTTTCTTCGGAGAGCAACGCCCTCTGAGAGAGCAGGAACTCTTCTGTCAATGCATACGTTGTAGGATCCATCCTGTGGAATCTCTTGTACCTTGTGCTGCATGAAAACAATGAGGATTCCAAGTCTACTTCACTGGACATCGGTTCTCAAATTTTTAAGATACTAGAAGTCCTTTCATTAAGCCAAAAGACCCTAGGTATTAATTCCGTCTTCCAGGGGTAGGAGTTGGGGTGAGGGTTGGAAAGCTTTATCTGGATAAATAATCAGTATTGTAGTTCCATTTATTTCATGTCTGATTTTGTGCTTATTAAAATTGATTTGAATCCTCAATGGAAAATGATTTTTTTTTCAAATGCCCAGTGTTGTGTGACTTGCATTTGGATTATTCCTGGTGCAACCTGAAGATTTCTTGTGATGAGTTGTGGTTCTGTCACCTTGGGAACCACTAAGAGAATTCTTACAATCCAAACAATAAATGTTTTTTGCCCTGTGTATGCCTTTATCCAGCACACAGTTTGCTAGACTTATGGATGAATATGGGTTAATATGACATGGTATCTATCCTTCTGGAAACAGACTTTTAAAACCTTACTAAGCATTCTCTGCATTCATCAAATATGAAGTGAGTGCCTGGTGCATGCCAAGCATCGAGCTGGGCACAGCATGTCCCTGCCCTCAGAGCTTTACAGTCCAGTGAGTTCAACAGAAGATGAAAAATTTTGATGACACAGAAAATAAACACATGTGCATGCTGTGATGGGGGAGATACAAGTTCCCGTGGAAGCATCATCTGGGAGGACCAGGGAAGGCATCTTGGAAAAACTGAGATCTGAAAGATGGGTAGAGTTAACCACATGAAGAGAGTGGAGAAGGGTACTTCAGACAGGGTGAACAGCATCAGGAAAGCCCAGGGAGGGTATAGAAAAGAAAGAACAGTAATTCAAGCAGTGGCTTTCAATGGGAGTGGCAGTCATGGAAGGAAAGAGAGGTAGCAGGGACCAGGTTTTGAAGGGCTTTGAGTATCACATTTTAAGAAGTTTAAATTTTAACCTGAGGTCACTGGGAAGCCATTGGCAGATTTTGTATGTTAGGAAGTTCACCACTTACCTACTTGGAGTATTGCAGGTGAAGCTAATGTGGATGGGCCTCCTGCCCATTATTAAATCCTGTTCCTGTCTGCCCCTGCTGTCTCTCCCTCTCTCTCTCTGTCTCACAAAAGCTAAAGGAAAGCATATAGGTTCCAGAAGGAAAAAGAAATAACCACTAGAAGAATAAGTATAAGCTGACTTCACTAAGGCCCAGTGAGATTCCAAACCAAAATAAGGTTTCTAGGGTTTGAGCTTTTAATACTGGTACTGCAACAGGGAGACAGGACTTGGGGAGCTGACGCTGTGTGAAAGTTACAGAACTGAGCAGCCTGCAAACCTGGACCTTTGAACATCTTCCCACTGACCCAGGAAAAGTACAAGGAAGTAGGTTCTCCAGAGCCTTGGGTAGGCCAAACATTACTTGAAGGCATCGGTCTAAATAATACACAAAAACGTTATTCAGGAACACTCTGGGAAATTAACATAAAAACTGATTTGGCCAGGCACCGTGGCTCAGCCGGTGGTAACAGTGCTTTGGGAGGCCAAGGTTGGAAAATCACTTGAGGCCAGGAGTTCCAGGCTGTAGTGAGCTATGATTGCACTACTGCCCTCCAGCCTGGGCAACAGAGGGAGAGTTTTTAAAAAGCAAATTGTCCAAGATCATTGAAACCATTAACACTTAGGAAAAAACAAATGAAATTACACTCAAGGGGCTCACATTTAAATCCAGGGCTCTCAGGACTCCGAAAGTAAAAAGATGGGCATAAAATAAAAAATTACAAGCCACTTGAGAAAAAAGTAAATCACCATGAGGTAGAGACAGCAGAGGAAAAATTGCACATGAAAATCAAGGAATTAGGGAGCTATCCAAAATAGACTATGAAAGTATGTTGCAAGTGATTGAGGATAATGAAACAAAAAAGTCATAAGAGTATGAATTAAAAGGGTTTTGAGAAAGAATGAAGATAATATGGTCATTGACTATAAACTCATTTGATGGGCAACAACAGATGAGACACAGCTGTTAAGAGTGGATCAATAACCTTGAATGTGGATGTGAGGCAATTGTAGTACAGCACAAAAAAGATTGAGAAACGAAGGAGCCCTTAAACTGCTTGTGGACACTGGTCTGGAGGGGGACAGGATGAAGAAAACCAGTCATGGAGGTTGAACTAAGTCATCTCTCCAATGTATCAGTGCCTGTTATGAGCCAGTGCTGTTGAGGAGCAGAGGATATTGTAATTTTTTTTAAAGTTCCTATTAATACCTTCTAGTGGGTCATAATGGCTCAACCGGGGGAATGGCAGTAAAGATGAAGAGATGGATTCAAAAGACATTTTTTAGAAGGTGGAATTAACGGGATATGGTGAATAATAATAAGATAGTAAAAGCATAATGGAGGAAACAATGGTTCTTCCTGTTACAATAGGAAGAGCTTTGGAGTAGAGTTTTATTCATTTTACATGCATTTATTGTGCACTTTATTATAGGTATTGGAGATTGATGGAAAATGCTTCCTGACTTCAAAGAGTTTCACAGGAAAGATAAGCGATGGCTATGTAATATGACCGATACTGGGATAGAGAGGTGCCCAGGTCACTATGGGAGGACTTAGGTGATTTCTAACCATGTCTAAGAGTAGGGGAAATGGGATCAAAGAAAACATCTCAGAAGACATGAAGCCTGAGCTTATGTCTTGAAAAATTTAAAGTTTAACCTAAGCAAGGATAAAGAATCAGAAGAAACAGCATGTTCAAAAGCTAAAGAACATGGGACTCGTGTGCTTTGCATGTACATACGTGTATGTGTGATGTCTGAAAGGATTGGAGAGGAGGGCGAAGAGAATAACAAGATGAACATCAACTTAATGTAGAATGCTTTGAAGTTTGTGTTTCACTTAACAAGACAGCAGGGAGTGATGGAAGGATCTTAGATAGGAAAGGGACATGAGCACATTTGCCAGTAGCGCTCGTACTGGTCATAGTGGGAATGTGAAGGTGACAAATCTGGAGGCAGGTAGCTCACATTTGGAGGCAGTTGCAGTCATCCAGAGGAGAAGTGAGAGGGGCCTAAGCTGTAAATCATGGGAATAAAGAAGACAAGACCCGTTAAAAAGAAAGAACACACCATGTAGCGTGGAAAGGGGAAGGGTGGAGGGTAGTCTGTGCAGAAGGAACAACCTTCAAAAAGACATGGAGGGCTGAAAAGTCACCCTGTTGTAGGAAGATCAGCAATACATTTTTTATAACCAGATAACCAGGCAATACAGGGAAAAGGTAGGATCTGAAGCTTGAAAAATAGCTTGGGGGCTAATTGTAAAGAGCTTCGTGTCATTCCCAGGATTTTGGAACTGATTTTACTAACATTAAAAAGGTTTTGTTTTAAAATATTGAGTAATATATAGTTGGAACCATAATTTAGGAAGATAACCGCTGGTGCCATCACTCTTCTAAGCAAAGGTAGTAATACATTTAATCCTTATAATAAATTTATTAGATGAAAACCATTATTATCTCCCTTCTATAGACAGAGAAACCAGCATAAGGAGAATGAGAACTTGCCTATGGTCTCACTCTGGAAATACCTAGTAAGCGATAGAGCCAGGATTCAAACACAGGTAGCTTGACTCCAGAACTTTCGCTCATAACCTTACACACCTCCCTCATGGTTGGTGTTTCTCAACCATGGATACACTTTCGAACTGCATGTAGCATCTCTAAACATACAGTTACCTGGATTGACTGAATCAGAGTGTCTGAAAAATGTGTGATACTGTGTTTTGCAAAACCTCCACAGGTAATTCTGTTGCACTTTGCTCATAGTTGAGTACTGCAGGGATCTCAGGAAGTTAGAGCAGTAGTCCAGGCAGCAGATGATGAAGGCTGAAACTAAAGTGGTCTGTAGGAAGGAAGAGGAGGGAGCCGATTTGGAGTCTTGAGAGATGGAATTGGCAGTGTCCATGAAGTGGAAATGCAGTATTTTCTCTTGGAGTATGAACCTTGCCGAGGAAGGGGGATAGAGGACCACACCTTTAGTCGTGGATTGTCCTCTCCCAACTGGATGTGTTGATTTATGGTTATGGAGGTTGGGGAAAAGAGGATTTAACCATTTGAAGAAGTTTGTATAGGGGATTATGATTGAACTCAGACTGTTGTCCTTGTGTATAGTTTCATGCTTATACTCTTGTTTGTCTTTACTTCTCTATCCAGGGCCCTTGGCAGAAAATCCTCACTGTGTCCAGGCTGAGGCTGGGGTCTAATGACAGTGTGAGCTCTAGATGGTGTGAGACCACCCCAAAGCCAAGAAATGGCTACAGCCGTGGAACCAGAGGACCAGGATCTTTGGGAAGAAGAGGGAATTCTGATGGTGAAACTGGAAGATGATTTCACCTGTAGGCCAGAGTCTGTCTTACAGAGGGATGACCCAGTGCTGGAGACCTCCCACCAGAACTTCCGGCGCTTCCGCTATCAGGAAGCCGCAAGCCCTAGAGAAGCTCTCATCAGACTCCGAGAACTTTGTCACCAGTGGCTGAGACCAGAGAGGCGGACAAAGGAGCAGATTCTAGAGCTGCTTGTACTGGAACAATTTCTTACCGTCCTGCCCGGAGAACTACAGAGCTGGGTGCGGGGCCAACGGCCAGAAAGTGGCGAGGAGGCGGTGACGCTGGTGGAGGGTTTGCAGAAACAACCCAGGAGACCAAGGCGGTGGGTGAGGAGGGGGAGTCCTGATCTGTGTGATGTGGAGGGGGACTATTTGCTGGAAGGCTGGATTTGGGGGAGGGCTTGCAGGATCCCCATAAATTATTAGTGGGCTCTGCCCTCGGGTTGCTCATAGATCCATGAGCCCCACGGATTAGGGGGATGTGTGTGTATGAATGTGACTTTCTGGATTTTGGAACACCTGTGTAGGGACCGTCTGAGGGGTCTCAGCCACTAAAGGGTCATGGCTTTGGTTTTCCCTTCTTTGAATGTTGAGCCTTGGGTTCCTGGAGAGAAGAATTTTGTGACTTCCTCAAAGGTTCTCATAGATCCCCAGTCCCAGATCCCCCTTCCTGGCTGGTCAGCTAGGGAAGCAGGCAGCAAGGAGAGCTACAGGTGGGACAGGTGGAGATGGGAAGGAGCCTTGGGTGACGGGTTCCAAAGCTAGGGGTGGTGAGAGAGCATTGCAGGCCTGCGCATCCCATGCCTCGTTCTGGGGAGGATAAGCTTCAGCTCCTCCTTGCCTGCTGCGTTGGAACTGGAGTTTCCCCTCCTTGTCTGGGTCCCTCTGGGAGTGTTTTCTCTAGACATCTTCTCCTAAAATAAGCTCCCATGACAACCAAGAACTTCCTCCTGACTCCATGGTGACTGGAAGTTGGAATTATTCCCAGGTGACTGTCCATGTTCACGGCCAGGAAGTCCTGTCAGAGGAGACGGTGCATTTAGGAGCGGAGCCTGAGTCACCTAGTGAGCTACAGGATCCTGTGCAAAGCTCGACCCCCCGGCAGTCTCCTGAGGAAACCACACAGAGCCCAGATCGGGGGGCACCGGCAGAGCAGCGTCCACAGCAGGAAGAGGAGCTCCAGTCCCTGCAGGAGAGCGGTGGGAAGCCTCAGCAGAAGGGGGGGATTGTGGCAGAAGGCAGGCAAGGAGGGGGATGTTTCTCCTGTACCAGGAGAGCTGGGTAGACTGCATGGAAAGAAATCACAGAATCCAGGATGTCAAGAGGAGACAGAACCACCAGCTAGAGTCCCCTAAAAACACGGCCAAGCTTAGATAGCAGATTGTTGCTTGTTCTCTTGGCATTCTGATGGTCTTATAGATGATGGGTGTGGGATATGGGAGCTACCCTTAGGCCTGTGTCTTGGTTCCCATAATAAGAAGGATAGGGCCACCTTCTTACCAAAGATGGTGGGGGATGCCTAGATTTTTGTCCATTATTGGGGCACACTGCATATTACTGATCTTTGCCTTCTTTTCTTCATAGAGGTCCCAGTGCCCCAGGAGCCAGACCTTCCCGCAGAGAGGAGCTCTGGAGACTCAGAGATGGTAGCTCTTCTTACTGCTCTATCACAGGTGTGCCCTAATTACCTCTGTGCCACAGAGAGTTTGTTTGAAGAACCACTGGGCATTAGCCACACTAAACAGGCGAAGCAGGATACACATTTACACTCTTGCCAGTTTTAAGCTCACAGTTCTGCAGATGCCTGGAAGGGGAGGAGAAAGGGGAGGAGATAATGAGATAAATTATCATACCCTCTATTGGATCCATAGGCGCCAACGCCTGTTTATTTGCCATTGACTAGAAAAGCTAACAAAATGAGATTATTTTGTAACACTCCAGTACAGCTTCGAAGTTGTCAAATGAGGGTTTTTTAGTTTTTTGTAAGTATGACAGACTGTACTGCTCAGACATTTAGCAAGTATTCACCATGATCAAAGCCCTGAAACTAAGCCGTGTGGCTGGAGGAAAAGAAATAGAATTCATGTATGGTTTTAGATTGTAATCTAACTGAGGAAAAAGTCTTGTTTTGGCTATAGAGTGTAGAAACTATTGAAAGTGATTAGAGTCATTGAGGAAAATTGACTAGAAAAGATAAATTTTGCAAAAATGTATGTAGCATTAAAGTGTCAAGTAGGGATGATGATTTTTAAGACCTTTCCTAAATTTTAAACAATACCTTAAAGAAGAAGAACATAAGCTGGTCTTCAGGGAAAGTGATGGCGTTGGAGGGGGCAGGGCCAGTGCAGAACGCTAGGGGAGAATGAGTTTAAGCAGCCCGCCACTTGAGCTCCTTTCATCTCCTAGATGGAGTCTTCCTATTGTGTGACTTTCAACAGGTACAAAATGCGAGGCTACCTGTAGCGTCACATTTTGATGAAATCCTTATGTGGTTTCAGGGACTGGTAACGTTCAAGGATGTGGCCGTATGCTTTTCCCAGGACCAGTGGAGTGATCTGGACCCAACACAGAAAGAGTTCTATGGAGAATATGTCTTGGAAGAAGATTGTGGAATTGTAGTCTCTCTGTGTAAGGAATTTCAAGTATTCTAGAGTATTCTAAGCCCAGAGATCTTTTTCCTGCTGGAAATTTTGGGGGATCTTAGACCTTAGATTGTATGCAGTGAACTTCTCTTATGCCCTCCCCACCAATAAAATTGAGGGATTAGGTGCAAAATATGGTGTCCTTTCAAGTAAAAGATAAATGTTTGGAAATGGAAACCTCTAATAGGGAAACAAACTTGTAATATTACAGCTTTAGTGCAGAAATATTTGAAGTAAGCACATGAGTGTTAAAACAAGAGTTGGAGATACTCTTTCTTGAGTATGGGAAAAGAGGATAAGGTGTACAACGGTGTAATTATTGAGTTGCAGGTGAAAACCACAAGAAAGACAAGAGATACGCAGTCCTTGGTTAAAAGTACACAAACTGAAGAGATGAACGTTTTCATGACCTGAGCTAGCTGTGTATTTGCTCCACAACCTACCAAATAGGAAAGGTCCACTGTTAACACAGGGAATTGTTGAGCCAATCGTGATATCCTATTTTCCCTCTCTTGAGCAGCATTTCCAATCCCCAGACCTGATGAGATCTCCCAGGTTAGAGAGGAAGAGCCTTGGGTCCCAGATATCCAAGAGCCTCAAGAGACTCAAGAGCCAGAAATCCTGAGTTTTACCTACACAGGTGAGGAATGACAAAAAGGGTCTTACCCACCCTGAGCCGGCAGTTCCTCTAGGCAGTGCTGCTCTCTCTCTGTAGGGCCCCGCTCTCATCAGTTCTTCTCACATGTCAGCCAGTACTGCTTTCTCCTTCTGACAGCCATTTCTTCTGTCATTTCCCTCCTCTTTTCTCCTCCCATCATTTGTCTGATAGCAATGTAATACAAAAGGGTGAAAGAGAAATGCTAACTTTTGGAATTGCAGATAAACCATTTACTGTACAATTCCCGTAAACCCTCAGTTCTCAGTCTCTGCATTTACAAAATGAAGATTATATTTCTGCATACCAAGGTTTGTTGATAGCATAACAATATGAGAAAGTGCTTGGCACAGGACAGGCATTCCATTGAGTCTTGCTGTCTCAAACCCCTTCTTAAAAATGTCCCCGTTGTGTAGAAGGCATTGTTGCCACTACAATGACCCCTTTTTTCCTCTCACCCTTTCTACAGGAGATAGGAGTAAAGATGAGGAAGAGTGTCCGGAGCAGGAAGATCTGAGTTTGGAGGATATACACAGGCCTATTTTGGGAGAACCAGAAATTCACCAGACTCCAGATTGGGAAATAGTCTTCGAGGACAATCCAGGTGGACTTAATGAAAGACAATTTGGTACAAATATTTCTCAAGTGAATAGTTTTGTGAACCTTCGGGAAACTACGCCCATCCAGCCCCTGTTAGGGAGGCATCATGACTGTTCTGTGTGTGGAAAGAGCTTCACTTGTAACTCCCATCTTGTTAGACACCTGAGGACTCACACGGGAGAGAAACCCTATAAATGCATGGAGTGTGGAAAAAGTTACACACGAAGCTCACATCTTGCCAGGCACCAAAAGGTTCATAAGATGAACGCGCCTTATAAATACCCCCTAAACCGGAAGAATTTAGAAGAGACCTCCCCTTTGACCCAGGCCGAGAGAACTCCATCTGTGGAGAAGCCCTATAGATGTGATGATTGTGGAAAGCACTTCCGCTGGACTTCAGACCTTGTCAGGCATCAGAGGACACATACAGGAGAAAAACCCTTCTTTTGTACTATTTGTGGCAAAAGCTTCAGCCAGAAATCTGTGTTAACAACACACCAAAGAATCCACCTGGGAGGCAAACCCTACTTGTGTGGAGAGTGTGGCGAGGACTTCAGTGAACACAGGCGGTACCTGGCGCACCGGAAGACGCACGCTGCCGAAGAGCTCTACCTCTGCAGCGAGTGCGGGCGCTGCTTCACCCACAGCGCAGCGTTCGCCAAGCACTTGAGAGGACATGCCTCAGTGAGGCCCTGCCGATGCAACGAATGTGGGAAGAGCTTCAGTCGCAGAGACCACCTCGTCAGGCATCAGAGAACACACACTGGGGAGAAACCATTCACGTGCCCTACCTGTGGAAAAAGCTTCAGTAGAGGATATCACTTAATTAGACATCAGAGGACCCACTCAGAAAAGACCTCCTAGCTAGGTCCCCATGTGAGGAGATCTGCTTTCAGCCCTCATCTGAGGGAGGTGAGGAATAGGAAAAGCCCTCTTGTCAGCCTGGGAAGACCTTTTCAAGGGAGTCTCCCTGACCTGCCCAGATCTGACATCACCTCTTCCTGCAAACTAAATACAAGCCTGGGCAGAACCTCTCCGTCGTCTTCTACACCTTGAGGAGATGTTTCATCCAAAGTACAACCTGAATTGAGGCTTCTCCTTTACTGGAGTGCGCCTGCCTCTACCTCATGGGTATACAGTAGGAGAATTAAGAGACTTAAGAGGTTGTGGTTACTGTATCGTCCAAAAAATAGGCTGTTACATATCCTAAAGACTGCTCAACAGCTTCAGGTTGAAAGTGGCCAAGGACAGCCCCTTAGGTTTGGGAAGGGACCAGCCTGAAGGATTCTGTCTTTAGTGGGGTCAAATCTTAAAGCACACAGCTCTGAACTCAAGACAGGAGATTTGCGTCCTCATGGCTTTGCCACATATTCACAGGATAACTGTATAAATCCCTCGCTGTCTGATTCACTTCTTACCATGCACTTTCCTTTGATGCTGAGGAGAAAGGGAAGTGGGCGAAAAATCTCAAGGCTGCTTCATGTGGACCTTGTCAAGCTGCTCCCTCCCCCAATGTCAAATTTTGTTATCAGGTGCCAAACTGCTAGAAAGGAGGGCCTAGTCAGAAGCCTCTTTCCATACGAGTTCTGGTTTTGTTTTTAATATTTTTTTCTATTAAAATACTCATGCATTTAACCTTCCCATTATTCAGCCAGTCTCTTGGTTTCGTCCCTAGCACTTCTACTGCAAGTGAGGTGGTAGCGTTTGAGTACTTATTGAGTAAAGCATATTCAGTCGTAATGAAATCATTCACATTTCCTCATATGCACAAGCCCACCAACCCCTTCACACCCCCATCACAGGGGCGGTGTGAGTAAGGGGATTTGGGAACAGTGTCAAGTTACAAAGGCACTGTAACAATTACAGAATCATGATTGCCATGGGCCACTTTATTTACATGAAGACAACTGGAAAACGGCTAAGACCAAATTATGGAAAATAAGAAAAAGCTGTTGCTGGCAAGACCATCAAAACTATTCTCCTGACACCCTGTTCCCATCATCCCTGACTGAGTACTCTGACGTCACGGAAAGTGTTGAACCTGGGACCCCGAGGAATTCACCAGGAGTAAATGGCTTTCATGTATTTGTGTTGTTTGCTTTTTCTTACGTGATTTTATGTTCCTATAACTAAGAACTAAAAAGTAGCATCTCATAATGGCCCAAGGATCTCTGTTGCGGTTAAAGGTTCCTTGGAGATGAGGCTGAATAATTGTGAACCTCACCTGCTCTGATTGTGGGAGTGGCAAGAACTGGGGAGACATCCTCCTTAAGTGGAGCACAGGGTATGGGGTTAAAGCATGAGAGGGAGAGTCTTCTGTGCCTGGTTTCTTCTCCTCTATCTCATAATGCATTATGGGCCAGAGGAATAGGGGAGGGTTAATAAGACTCCAATCCTAATGGCCCAACAGGGAAATTCTCATTTTGGTCAATGATTCTGATGGACTGGTTTGGTTTTAATACCAGGCAACCGTTGTCCTTCTGGAAATATATATATGAAATAAATAAAGGTAACACTTGCAGCCAAGTTCCCTGGTTTCTGGGACTTCCCATCTTACCTGTTCCTTTTTCCAGGGCTTCAGTGTCCTGATACTTCTGAGGGTGATTCGTCCTCAAATCTGGGAGTACAGAGTATTTTTCCATGAGGAAAGGAAGGCTTGGGATGATTAGCAGAGCCCGGTGAAATATATGCACTCTGAGTTAAGAACCAAGCCTGGAGTTTGCAGAAGATACTGTCCTAATATGCAGGCATTTCTAAACTATGTATCTAAGCCTAAGCATAGCTTATCCTGGGTGAAATGTCACAGCCACAAAAGATAATTTCTCCTAGCTCATACTTAACCATTTATAAAGGTTGATAAAATACTGGCAGTGACAGAACAAATTGACTTTTTAATTTTCTTTTTTATCTGCATTATTCCAATAAATGAGAATCTGTCAAGAGTTCTACACGAGGGAAAGCTTGAGAGCCTGGTCCAGTTTGTTGGAACGTCAAATAGTCCTATTGCTGATCTCCCTGCAGAGTTTCATAGGCTGACAGGAAATCTCTGGTCCCTTTTGTAAATTACTGAGTTTTTTGAGGTTCTTGGAGGGACATATTGTCTCCCAAATCGGAACAATCAGAACCACAGTTTGCAGCAGCAGGGAAGAAGCAGTGCAGCTGAGCGTGAGCAGGGAGGTTGGAGCACAGGGTGTGTATTCAGAGGGGTCCTCTCTAGTATCTTGGGAGCACTAGAATTCTACCATCCTTGAATACTATACTAAGTTTCTGAGGGAGAAAACGGTGGGATTTTTAAGATATTATTTGGAGGAAGTTAATAAGCTACTTAGTTAATGGAATTGCCAGGTTGTTGGAAATGTGCTAATGAAGTATGACATTAAAAATGATAATATAAGGATACTTGACCAGATAATTTAGGAATAACCAAGAAATATTTAACCTCTTCACCACAGTCCCAACAGAAATAAATGCCCAAGAGAGAAAGTCAAAATACATTTTTATTATCTGGGACTTGGGCCTCATATTCCACAGCAGAATCTGGTAACCTCAGATGAACTCCATGGAGAATTTCATAAATCAGATTAATATCAAGGTACTAAAAACCCACTGAGAAACCTGTTGCCCTCTTCAAAGCACAACTGAAGTAATGGATCTAATAGAAGATACATTGTTTCCACTGAGCAGTAGAGTAGAAGAGGAACAAAAGCCCAGAGATGGCAGAGACAAGTTGTTCCAGTCCCCTTCAGTCAAGGCAGCAGCCTCTGGACCACCCTGCCACATGCGAAAAATGGGATAATATTTAATAAATGAATAACTTGAAAATTTTTTTGATTCACCAGAACTGGCTGGAAGGACAGTAATCCAAATGAGAGTTAACAGTTCCATGGTAGTTTCTAGAATGAAAGCTGAACTGAGAAACAGTAACTGATGGCATGTTGGGCAGGTTAATAATTTGGTACCCTTCCACACCAGTATTTGTTTGTTTGTTTGTTGTGAGACAGTTTCGCTCTGTTGTCCAGGCTGGAGTGCAGTGGCGCGATCTTGGCTCACTGCAAGCTCCGTCTCCTGGGTTCATGCCATTCTCCTGCCTCAGCCTCCCGAGTAAGCTGGGACTACAGGCACCCAGCACCATGCCCAGTTCATTTCTTGTTATTTTGGTAGAGACGGGATTTCACCATGTTAGCCAGGATGGTCTCGATCTCCTGACCTTGTGATCCGCCCGCCTCGGCCTCCCAAAGTGCTAGGATTACAGGCGTGAGCCACCGTGCCTGGCCCCACACCAGTATTTTTAAAATAGTTTGTTTTACCTCTAGCATCTTCCCTCAGCTGACCTAAATAGTCCAGCCACAATAGGTGAGAGAAATATACCTACATTTATTTCCATCTCCTTATATTTCTAGTGATGTTGGCTGACTGGCCCACTAATCTAGTTTATGGGAGAGGGAAAGACAAAGAGCCAAAAAGGGGATACCCAACCCAGGTGATCACTAACCTTTATTGTGTTAAGTAACTGATACAATGTTTCAAATGTAAGCACATCTCCTTGGAAGTGGAATAACTTGATTCATCCTTGGGGAAGTCCTGAGGATCAAGCAAGGAGGAGCCCAGCTTGCTCTAGACACCACCTTTGTTATCTTTAATAACAAAAAGGAACAAAGTGATTGTCAGACCAGCAAAAGTAGAGATACCTCTTAATGTGCAATTTCTATTCTCTTTAGTGTGTGTGAGTGCACGCATGCACGTGTACACCGAGGTTTCAGGTAGAAGGAGGAATGCAATTCAAATTCTAAAATAGGAATCAGCATAAACTAATTTATTTGATAATCCATAAAGATAGGGACTCTTCAGATGAGGTTGAGAGCACTGTAGGGTTATGTAAAGACTTCCGGAAGCTGTAGTAGCAGGTAGCTGAAGCAAGAAGATTCAACCATCTACAATGCCATGAAGGAACATAGTCAAATCTACATTTAAATAGAGAATAAATCTTAGTAATGTTCTCTGCAGAATATAACAACGCTGCAAAAAAGGCCACGTCACAGGAATATAATCAAAACTGCAGATTCTCAGGGTTTCCCGTAAGACAACTTCTCTGCTCTTCTGTTTGTGGTTTCTTCATCAGTTGTACATCTCTCCTAGACAAGTCCAAGGACTATTAACGAGAAGATTTCAGGAAGAGGCCTACAGCAATTGCTTGGTGCTTGGGTTCGTTTGCTGAACCTCGGCAACAGGTCTACAGAGAAGCAGTTCCACAAGAGTTGTGGGGCAGTTGAATAATCCATCCAAACAATGAGGAGTAAACCCTGAGTCAAGAAACCAGCAAAAAGCAGAAGACTGGGTCAGCAAATAAAGGGAGAAGATCCCTGCCTCCTACAGTTCCCCCAGTGTGACATTCTGAAAGGCCCTCCAGTAAAATACGACGACAGTTTTAATACATTACTGAAATAGAGAATAGAGATAGTATGTAAGTTGGGATCGGGTGATCCGAATTTCAGTGTTTTAACATTCATGAACTGTTCAGGACAAAAGCTGTAAGATATTGGTTAACCTCAGCATTGTTAAATTAAGTGTGCACTGCAGTATCAAAGATACTCGTCATCAGAATGGAGAGAGTAGTTTTCTAAATAGTGGAGGGATAATAGGAATTAAGAATTTTTTCAAAAGTGGGACCAAGATTATCTAAAGAAAAGCAAAAAAAAAAAAAAAAAAACATAAAAAGATGAAAAAGTAGAACTATAAAGATGGCAGCCCAAATGTATGAATAAAATAGAATAAATAGTAACTATCATTTAAGATAGAGATTGTTAGAGTGGGTAAATAAAAAGTAAATTATAACAAGATATGTACAACAGATATACAAAAATAGTGATTTTTTTTTTTTTCGTTTTTTTTTTGAGATGAAATCTCGCTCTGTCACCCAGGCTGGGGTGCAGTGGCATGATCTTGGCTCACTGCAACCTCCATCTCCTGGGTTCAGGCGATTCTCCTGCCTCCGCCTCCTGAGTAGCTGGGATTACAGGCACCTGCCACCGTGCCTGGCTAATTTTTTTATTTATTTTATTTTTTTATTTTTATTTATTTTTTATTTTTTTAGTAGAGACGGGGTTTCACCATATTGGTCAGGCTGGTCTTGAACTCCTGACCTCGTGATCCACTCACCTCGGCCTCCCAAAGTGTTGGGATTACAGGCATGAACCACCGGGCCTGGCCAGAATAGTGAAAATTTTTAAAAAGTGAGGATATTACCAGGAAAATACTGTTCAAAGAAAGCTAAAGGAGTTATTTTAATATTGAATAAAAAATGTTTTAAGCCAAAGCATTATGAGAAGGCCTCTACATAATTAACAGTTTAATCTACCAGGAATATATAACATGTCTAAATTTCTATGTGCTTCTGGTTTTGTAATAAAAATCAGTAGAATTACAGGAAAAAATGATAAATTCATCACTTTCGTGAGCAATTTAAATGCACCTCTCCTAGTTATTGATAGATCAAACAGATAAAAAAAGGATAAATATTTATACAATAAATTAAAAGAATACAGAAAGGAGATAATTGCAGACAGTAATGATAAAATATATATAATATGTTTAAGCTGGTTCTTTGAAAAGACTACAAAAACTTCTGGCAAAATTGATTATGAAATATAGAAATACACTAAGTAATAAGCTATGGAAATGGTAAATATGTTGATAAATATAAATCAATATTGATTGTATAAAGTCAATATGTCTTATGAAAATATATGTCAGCAATAACACACAAGATGAAGAGAGTGGATGGAGTTTAAGCGTCTGAAGGTTCTAGCATTATTGAAAAAGCGGAAAAGGGCTATTTTGTTTTTTAGACAGTAATAACAAAAAATGTATGTTGTGATTTCTAGAGTAACCAGCAAAACAATAGTAGGCAAATGTATAACTGACAAGTTAATTGAGGGAAAATAATGTACTAAAAAATTAATGCAAATGAAGCTAAGAGAAAAAGGAATATAAAACAAGTGAATCAAGTAGATAACAAATAGTAAAATGGTAACTAAAATTCAAATATATATAAATAATAACATTAAATGTAAATAGATTGAATAATTTAACTAAAGATCAAGTTAACATTTTATATGCACACACACACACAGTCATGTGGCACACAACAACATTTTCATCGGTGACAAACCACATATACAACAGTGGTCCTGTAGGATTATAATGGAGCTGAAAAATTCCTACAGCCTACTGATGTCATAGCAATGCATTACTCATGTTCATGATGATGCTGCTGGAAACCTACTGTGCTGCCAGTCATGGAAAATTCTAGCACACATAATTATGTACAGTATATAATACTTGATAAGCAATGACTATTATTGGTTTATGTACTTATATTTTCATTCTTATTTTAGAGTGTACTCTTACTTATTTAAAAAAAAAAAAGTTAACTACAAGACAGCCTCAGGAAGATCCTTCAGGAAGATTCCAGAAGAAGGTATTGTTATTATAGGAGATGACAGTTCCATGGGTGCTGTTGCCCCTGA